AAATTACATACATTAACAAGATAATATATGAATTATAAATAAAATATGTAAATATGTAAATAATAAAAAAAAAAAGAAACATAATCTTTATACGATAACTATTAATTAACAGGTATATGTCGACGGATTAAAAGCATATCTTCGAAATATGTGGAACTTCATCGACTTCACGAGAAATTCTCTGTACGTTCTGACAGGAATACTACGAGCTGCAGCTTATTTTCGACAAAGGGCAGAAATAGCAATGGATCCGTCGGCTGCGTTAATACCGAGAGAAAATTGGAGCGATTTTGATCCACAATTGATAGCCGAAGGTTTATTCGCAGCGGCAAACGTTTTCAGTGCACTCAAATTGATACATTTGTTCAGCATAAATCCAAATCTTGGGCCATTACAAATATCATTGGGTAGAATGGTTATCGACATAGTGAAATTTTTCTTCATTTATACATTGGTCCTGTTTTCCTTTGCATGCGGTTTGAATCAATTGTTATGGTATTTTGCCGAATTGGAAAGGAAAAGATGTTACAGTGATTTTGCCGATCCAAGTTGGGATTCGACCAGTGACGTTTGTATAAGATGGAGAAGGTATGGGGGAAAAAAAATCATTAATATTCTAATATCACGGTGTTATGTCGATTGGGTTTATTAAATAAACGAAATTGATTGTTTAATAGATTCAGCAATTTGTTTGAAACTTGTCAAAGTTTGTTCTGGGCTAGTTTCGGTGAAGTTGGTATAGACAGTTTCGAATTAACTGGTAATCAAATTTTAATTATTATCATTTAATCATTAATTTACATATTATTTATTACGTTACGAGATAAATTATTATTTTTAGGAATCAAATCTTACACCAGATTCTGGGGTCTATTGATGTTCGGCTCTTATTCCGTTATCAACGTGATCGTTCTATTGAATCTTCTAATCGCCATGATGAGCAATAGTTATGCTGTTATAGAAGTAAGAATACTTACGAAATATATACAAACATTTTGTTAATATTATTATATTTTGAATATTATTTTTTTAAATGAATTAATATTTATAAAGGAACACGCTGACACGGAATGGAAATTTGCAAGAACGAAATTATGGATGAGTTATTTCGAAGAAGGTGGTACTCTACCTCCGCCATTTAATATCTTCCCACCACCTAAATTGATTCTCAAATTATGTGGTATATCAAAGAAGAAAAATAACGAACACGTTGATAGCACTTATCGTCGTTCGCAAAATCAAAAGTACGTATTTGTTTATGTTTTTTATGCAAATGTAGTTTTGTTTTGCATTTTTTTCGAAAGAAACCAAATAACAACGAGAATTATTCAATTATTGTTTTACAACAATATTACTTGTCATATAAATAATTAATATTAATAAAAATAGTTTATATATTTTTTATTTTTAATTATAAATTCGAATAAAATCGAAAGATTATTTTTCTTTTCTGTTATTCATTACCGATTTGTTTCGTATTTATAGGTTAATCATTTATCGAATTATTTGATCAATATCATAATATTCAAATTTATTTGAAAACAATGATAAAGATTAATGATTGTTTTATTCTAGATATGGTATTGTCATGAGAGCTTTGGTATGGAGATACGTGGTCAATTCACATTCTATGCACGTAATGGAACCCGTAACGGAAGATGACGTACACGAACTGAAATCCGACATATCATCATGGCGTTGCGAACTTCTCGACATTTTACATAGAAATGGCATGGACATAGCTGGAATTGATACCAAAGAGAAAAGTATATATTTTATATAATAATTTTTAAAGGGGAAAAAAAAACACACATACACACATTCAAACGAAAAAATATTTAACATTGTTTACGTTTAACAGCTGTGTTGGGTAAAAAGATGAGAATGTGGGAAAGAAGATTGATGAAGGATTTCCAAGTATCAGGACTTTTCACTGGATCGGCAGAGGATGCTGCACAAGAAGAATTGAATCTTCTTCAACCAGCTGAAGGCGAGGATAACATTGCCAGATGGAAAAGAGTTGCTAGATTAGCGTTACTGAGATCAACTCAGCATCGTTGGGGCCAAGTAAATAATGAATCATTTTAATTGTGTTTTCTTATTTGAAACACATTTTTGGGACTTTTACAAAAAATATATTTTTATCCGTGGAACACACCGATAACATAATTATCACAATTATTTTAACATTTATCAAGCTGATCATTGAAATTTTAAACAAATTTCATAAAGGGTGATATATATTTTTAATATATTCACTCGCATTTAAATATAATTATTTGATAGTATTTAGTTATGGATTTTTAAAAATTCATACTTAATTACCGATTAAAAATTTGGACTCGAAATCCACCGGTCCCAATAATGTCAACATCAAATAATATCATTCGATATAATTTTATCAATTAAAAAGCAAATATATTGAACAGGTTGTGAATAGTGCGATTCGAAGTTCCCAAATTGGTAAAAGTAATAGCAGAGTATCCTTGCAAAATCAACAGAGTTTAAAAAAAGCCATAGAACAAGCACGAAATTTGACAGCAAAAGCACCGTTACTTCCAATTCCACAGATACAATTACCGAAAAGCACGGAAACCACGATACTTCATATACTTCATGACATTGTTGAGACTGATAATTCAGTTAAGAATGATGTACCAGTATTAACAGTAACGTACGAACCAGATCCAACTGATCAGGTAAGTTAAATTATTCCCAATTTTACAATATATTATTTATTATACAAAATTAAAATCGAATTTTCAACGTTGATAGAGTAAACAAATTATTACATCACAGTCATTGAGTATCTTACTTTTTAATTAGATACTATATAACTTTTTTTTTAACTCTTATGAATAATCTACAATTACTAATCAAATCTGATTTACATACGCAAAGTAATTATATTCATAGTAAATATTAATGAAGCAACCAATTCATTAATTTAGCGTTATTAATGTTGAATTACTTGTAAACAAAAAATATCAAATGGAATGATATATATAATTTTGCATTTACAATTAACAGCAATCCCAGACAATGTCGACTGTCGGTTATATCGATGAAAAATCTATACGAAATTATCAACCTGTTATACCAACTCGACCATCGTCTCAAACATCGAACAAAAAAGATGGAAATAATTTCACGGTAAATAATATTCAATGTCAAGATTCCTCGAATGTAATAACGCAAGGGAAGATACAAATGAAAAAAGATATTGCCAAAGGAACGTTAAATTCACCAAAAAGTAATCAAAATAAATCTAACAATACGTTTGCAACAATTAATGCTAATAATACTGGAGATTCTGGAATGATTAAATTACGATCAAAACCTTCACTAAGTCCAAGAAAAATCGTTGATAATACAATGATTATAATGAATAAATCTGATAGTAAGAATCATAAAGAGGAAGACAAACAGAGATTGGTTAACATAATGCCAAGGTCACCACGTTTTGCTACGAGTCGATCACCTAGAAAAGGTGGATGGCTTTAAACGCATTTTTATTTTGAGAATTTCTTTTCTTTTTTTTTTATCGTCTCTCGAATATTACATCATCTCATCATTATGAAAATGGTGTAGATATTTATTGAAATTTTATTATTATAAAAATATATATTTGCTTATATGATGTGAACGAAAAAGATGCGATATCAAAATAAATGTATATTATTTGTTATTCATTTTATTAGTAAAAAATAATGAATTATCATTATTGTTAATCCAAACGAACATTATTGCGATTATTATTAAATATTGTCTACGTAAATTCTATACGTTCACATTTGGTACTTTTTCTTTTTCTCTTAATTCTTTTACTCGACACACAAATGGCATAGCTTATTTATACAGTAAATTTAAAATAAAGATTGTCAATACTATTACGATAAATATTATATGACAAATAATAAATAAATTTAATCATTAAAAGAGAGAGAAGTGATCACCCATTCGTCGTTTTCTATTTAAAATAAAACATATGTGAATAATTAATGCCAATTTTGAAATAATTGTATGCAGAATTATTGAATACATTCGATGAATATTTTATTCTAACTTCTTGCATAATAATCTTTTCCTTTTTTATTTTTTTTCATACTGTTCGAAAATAAACGATCAATTCCAGCTTCTGTAATTTTTGATAAATCGTGATTAGATGTGGAGGAGAAAAAATCGCGAAAAATTATCGATCGATTCGTATATATATATATATATATACACGATATTGATTTATATTTACATTATTGAATAATATTCATTTATTCATACGATAATAAAATACATTGTTCTAATTAATTTCTCGCTTCATTGTTTCTTTTTATTTCTTTACTGTTTTTTTTCTTTTTCCATTCGCATAATTATTTCCTTTTTTTTTTCCTTTTTTTATATTAAAGAAATACATTAAATTTTACACTACCGACACAATTCTATTACGATTAATACGAAACATTTACATTAGTCACGCGACTATATCGATATAAACAAATAATTACATTCTCGAATGAATAATTATAGCGTGAGATTTCATTTAAAATTAATAATAAATATCAATTTTTAAGCGCTTTCTCGTTTACCTACACGTGTATAAGTATGTTTAATATATTTTTAATATGTATTACATTATTATATACCTACATGTATTTATGTATATATGTATATATACATTTATGTTGATATACATATATATATATATTGTAACTTATATATATATTAAAATACATTCACCTAAGGATGGTTATAACTGAATAAAGAATTCTCTTAATAATTAATATGAACGAACGTATTTACACAATGAAAATAAAGATAAGTGATCGATAATGTCGACGTTGTTTATATATATAAACAAATAAACGAAAAAGAAAAATCAATGAGAAACAACAAAAATTTAACGCGTTATTTATATTTAAATAAATAAATTGATTGATTCGTCGATTATAATTAACCGATCTATCAAAGAATACGAGGTTAAAAATTGCACCTTGCGTTCCATTTCATGGAATTTCTTTCGGTTTTTTCTTTATAGCAGGTTTTTGTGGTAAAAGAATGACTAAAGCGGCGGCAACTAAAAAATAAATATATAATATATTGTTTGTAATTTTTCTTTCTTAAAAATTATTTAAATATATTTTAATACTTACACAAACAAGCCGAACCAATCATAATAAACGGCCCGAAACAAGATAATCCAAACAGAACTGGGAACAGAAGATTACCAATCACGGCCCCGCATCTTCCGACTGTCATGGCGGTACTAACTGCCATAGTCCTAAAAACAGACAAGTATTAAAACATTTTTTATTTATTTATATATCCACGTGTGTATGAACAAGAATTAGCATTGATATATAGAATTTTATATATATATATTTTATATTATTTTATTAATATTTTTTGGGAATTTTTTTATTTTGCTGTGTTTATAGATTCGATTCGTAAACAATGTTATCGGTGAAGTAGAAAGAGTTGCATTCATTTAGGCGCCTGATAAATTAAATTAAAATTTATGTACAAAATAGATATAATATTAATATGTTTTTTTTCATAATCATTTTTAAAGTAGTAATAATATAAGAAAAAATTGAATATATAATTTCTTAGCTATAATGATTTATATATACCTTAGACACGTTGGAAAATTATCGACGATTATATTGACCACCGTAGCACCACCGATACTCGACATTGCTACAAATACGGATGACAATCCTAATATTCCATTAGTATCATTCGTCCAATATAGTGATCCGCAACAAGCCGCTGCCACGAGGAAACATATTGCTAAAATAAAACATATTTATTTTTACCAATTAATACCAATTCATTTTTCTTTATTTCTTTTTTCAGAAATATAAAAAAGAGAAATCGTTAAGAAATAAAAAAAAGAACCTTATCCTCTTAAATCGTAAGATTATTATTATGAAATTAAATTAAAGTTGTACTTTTCAATAGTAAAAATATTTTTAAATCATATATTGATCAGTTGTATTCTGTCACGAATTAAAGTTATTATACTTATGCGAAGTAACGTATTATATATATATATATTTTTTTTTTCTATTTAAAAAATATACCCATTAATTTTTTCTTTCCAACGATGGTTATCAACGAGCCAGCCAAAGTGTAACCAATGATACCGGTAAGTGCGATGACTATAGAATTCACGAAGACAGTAGAATTTAGTTCTGTCTAATGAAAGTAAAAAGAAACATAATTAGACGATCTCATTATTTAACATTAATTAATTAAATATATTAATCATTTTGATTTATAAGAATTACCGAAACACAATCGACGACGGTAGCAACTGTTGTGTTTACAATGGTAGTAACATTATCATTATTATTTTCTGTAGTATTAAATATATAACAAAAAGATGGTCGAGAACCTACGTAATCTTTCTCTACGTGATTGATTTTGTAACTTTCTATCAAAGAAAATAATTGTGGCATCCATAATCTCAACGAATTTGATCTGTATTATAAATAATTCATATACATATTATTAATTATTATATCAAGTTTTTTTATTTGTAAATTGTTTTCAATTTATATATACGATATTATTTCCAATGTCTATTTTATAAATTCGAATTCATATTTATTGCGAACAAATTTATCTGTATAATTTATGTTTATACTAACCCTATCGTAGCACCAAGTTGAATCAGAGATATGACTATGAGTTTAAACACGTTTGGAGGTAAAAAAAGTGGTTTGATTTGTGCCCATGATGATTGTACTTTTTCTTTCCATTTATCACCCGTTGATTTTACTGAATATTCTTCCTCTAGATCCCTTATCTATTAATGAATCATGTTAATATTACGAAAACTAGCGAGAAATTCTTATAAGATAATAACGTGTTTTATTGTATACATGTAAATATTTTTAACGATGCAATTCATCAGTCATGTCATAAATGATCATAAAACTTTCAGTCCATATCAAATTTATTGCTTTTAATAAATAATCATTATGTTTATGTTGGAAAAATCAATTACTATTATACAATCTTTCAATAGATTATAAAATGTGCGATAAAAATGAAAAAATAGCGAATAAAATTGTAATTAATGATGAAATATTATCATGATTAATTGAATCAAATTCGATTTATATGTATATATATTTGTTTTTAACTTTAGATTAACTGAATAGTATGCTATAAAAATTGCTATTACATATAACGGGTAATCCCATTACTAAAAAATTAAACGATAAATATATGTTTAATAATAAAATATCGATAACATACCAGATAAGTATCTGCCGGTTTTCCAGTATTGACCGAATATATTTTTTTAAAAATTTCTAATGCTTCCTCGCGGCGACCTTTCAATAAAAGAAATCGTGGACTTTCGGGAAAAAACCAAATAGCAACGCATGCCAAAAATGCTGGAAGTGAACAAATGGCTAAAAATACTCTCCAAGATTTGATTTCAACGAAACCATGTAAAATACTCCAATTCCATTTTTGTGGTAGAATTAACCATGCTATACCTGTATAAAATCAAAAAAAAATAAAAAATACAACAATTCATTTAATTAACCATTATATTATTATTATTATCGTTTTTCTAATTAAACGTGAATAACCATAAAAATTAAAAAAATTCAATTGGAAGATTTAATTAATATGTTTTATTTTATTTTAATATTATTAGAAAGAAATTTTCAATAACTTACACGGCAAGGAAATATTTCCAAATGAAAAATAAACGCCTAGCCACATGTAAGTACGTGAACGATGATTTTCATCGTGTATTTCCGCCAAATATGACATCAAAGCAGCATAAGGACCGGATATGCTGCAATTAATGAACGATAAGGATAAAAAAAATTCAATAAATTATTTAAAACGGTTTCAATCTTATCATGGGAACGGATAAAAAAATTTTTATAAATGTATATATGATATTTTAATAACGAATATTTTATATACAGAAACATTCTGGTACGAAAATTATCATAATTCTCGTATCACGTATGAAATATTATTTTTATACGGGTTTTTCTTTTAATAAATATTCGCTCTTATGCGTACGCATACTTAATTTCGCCAAATAAAAGTTCAACGTAACTATAATCAGCGAGTTAAATGACCGCCAAGTAAAAAAAGTTGAAAAAAAGTAAAGAAGAACTTTTTGTTGCACAACGTTCGTTACCTTGGTAAAAGAGAAAAAAAAAGTAGAAAAAGAAAAAAGAAAAGAGAAGAACAATTAATCGCAGTTCTTATTTTCAAATACGTATTTTAAATAGATAATAATATCGACGAATAAAATAGAAAATTCAATTGAAATTTGGGTATGCTCTCGTAATGTTTATGCCAAAATTTTTATTATCGATCTCAAATAAAGATGAAAAATAAAAGAAAGGAGAAGAAAAGGATTGTACAGACATTTTTTAAATACGTAGATATTTTTGTCTGTGCTTTTTTTTTTGTTCTTCGACTTACATCGATCCTTCGAAAAATTTGAAAAGTATTAATAGCCACGATCTGTGCGAGAAACACGTGGCCAATGTGATAAAACCGGTTAGCATGTATCCGTAAAACATAATTCTTTTCCTTCCATAAGTATCAGCCATGAATCCCCAAAGAAAATTAGTACTGATCATACCTACAAATCAAAATCATATTTAATTAACAAAAATATATATTTATATATATATACTTTATATAATTATAGATTAAAGATTAGAATTATAGATAAATAACAATATATTTATATATTTTATACATATATATATTAGGGTGAACAGAAATTTCGTGCGTTTTTTAATTAATAATTTAATTTTATTTACTTCAAAATATTGCACTATTTGAAACAACACAATAAACGCACGAATTTTTGGTTCACCCTATATATATATTTATTTATTATAATTAAACCATAAAATAAAATGTATATTATTAATTAAAAGATGAACTACGTTCATTTGTGTACCACCTGCAAAAGACATGGAATTGAGTAGTCCCTTATCGATCATGGTAAGTTCAAGATCACATTCTGCTGATGGTAGAACATAGGCTGTCGATGAAGATGAGAATATGCTGGCAAAACTAGCTGGCAGTACAGCCAGTAGTAACAAATAATTGAATTTTCCATAACCTAAGAATTCGATAAACAATGAAAAATATATTTAACAAGTGTCACACATATCATCCTTTGACCAATCCGATTGATTTCAAAATTCGGAGATTGTCGATGAACAAAATTGAAAACAAATATATATTTATTTAAAAAATATGATACTATTATTCAAAAGATTGGAATCCAATGATTACTATACCATACAATATAGCATCTTATTAGTTACATACTTTTCATTTATGATTACATGTAAGTGTATACAATTAGACGTTTCTCCGAATGATTCGAAAGTACACAAGAGAAAGGTGAAAGAGCGTTTAGATCGAAGGTAATAATAAATAATAATGAAAAAAAAAAAATATATATATATATATATAAATTAAAAGGAACAGCAACGTTTAAATTACTTACCTGACAAGTATATCGCACGTTCAAAATCTGCTGGTCCAGAATCCGCAGAATTCACGTCCTCACCTTCAATTTAGAAACAGATGAACGGGCATAATGTAGTAAAGTCAAATAAAAATGACAAAATGACAAAACGCTTGACGAGTTAGGGTAGATCAAATTCAAAGTATAAAAAAAAAAGTATTCTTCCTTAGGAGGATTCTTTGCAATCGTTGATTGAAAGAATACCAAATGTGTTAAATAAAAAAATAGATAATATAGAAGTAATTTATTATTTTAATATTCTTTGTTTTATTTTGTTTTTATATATATATATATATATATGTATAGGTACTTTGTTATATGAACAAAGATAGTTAAAACAATAGTTCTAGAATTAACGAACGAATTAGGATAGTTTACAAATAAAATATAACCTACTACTCATGCGTTTGTAATAAAATATCGATAACAATTGGAGAATCCGTTTGTAAACCATTGTCTTCTTCTTGCGTAACCAATATATTTAATTTTATTCGTTAACGAATTCTTTGGATGATCCACATTGTTCTCTGTAGGATTCACAATATTTCTTATCTTAAAATAAATTATACTCAATTTACACGTATTTTGAAATATTTTCAACGAATTTTAACGAGAGTAACAATCATTCGATACGAGAAAGTAAAACAGAGAATAGAAAACAAAAATAGAGAAAGAGAGAGAGAAAAGAAAAGAAAAGAAAATGAAATTCAACAAACCGTAATTTTTGTAAAAATGCCATTATTTTTTCTCACCTTACATACGAGAATAAAATTTGATTTCGTTTATCAAAAATAAAATAATAAAATCCATGTGATCGCACAGAATATATAATATTATTGTTCACACTTTCAGGAATATTACACAAATTTTATTATACACCTATCAGAATATTTTTATTAACGTTAAACACATATTTTTCGGATATACCCTTTTTTCAATTTAATTTGATCACTAATTGAAAAAAAAATATTTATATTGTTGTAATTCGAATCTCTTCTTCGCACAACTGTTACTTTCAACGTTAATTAATATTTTTTCTAGTTTTTCTACACCATTTCAAATATTCGTCAAAAAATTTCTTCTCTCTTATTCTTTCACTTTTTTCGTCTACTTTTCGATAAATACAATATTGAATTTATATTTCGATAATATAATCATTCAATTTAATTCAATATCGATGAAAAATATACGTAGAAACGTGCAAGATTAACTTCGGAATTGCGATTGACTGAAGTGATTGATTCAGTATTAGAAAAGGAAAGAAGAAGATTGTCCTAGGACCGTACTTATGATCTCAAGAATTTGTTTTTCTTCCTTGAATTTGTCTGTAATGTAAATATATTATTATACATGATAATAAATATTTCGCTAATTTCAATTATATTATACGAAATTCTTCTCACCGTTAACAATCATCGTCTCTTTTCGTAGATATATATATATATAAATTTTTTTTTTTGTAAATATCGATAATTCCCATTAATTTAGCAATTCTTTAGGTAATACAATTATCGTCATTTTCTTAAATATCTTTCCTTTATTTTCTACTTCAACACTGAACAAATTTTTATTTGAGGAAAACCGGATTTACCAATACTTTGTTCTTTTACTAAATAATAACACCGGTCACAGATGACCTTGGTAGGTCAATTAATGGTACAAATTAATCGTGGATTTAATTATATAATTATACTTAAACAAAATTAACCTAAGAATATTTAATTGCACGTACTTTTCAATAAACTTCAAAGACTTTCGATACAATACTATCCGATTCTCTGAAGATATATATTATTATTTATTATAATAAGAACTATAACTACTTTGAGAAAAAAACTAAAACGTCATAGATAACAGAATTCATAAAAACTATATATAAATATATACTACTAACTCTTAAATATCGTTTATTAAAAAATTGCACAAATAAGTTTCATATGAAAGATTAAAATAAATTATTATGTTACCTATATACCATGAAATAAAATTGTAAAAAAAAAAAGAAATTATTTATAAAAAACACGCGGAAACTGCATAATCGTATCGTATCATTATCATTCAACAATGACATGATCAATTTCTCATGCGACAGAACAAGTCCTGATTAATTATCATTTTTTTACGCACCTCTTACGATATATACTCAAGGTAATCATTTTTATCGTAACATGCGGAGAAAGTATACTTTGTCACTTCGTAGAATCCGTTTCTGCGATAATAAAAATGCCTAAAGGAAAAAAAAAAACACACGCGTACTTCAGGGCCCCTCCACACTCGCCCTCACCTCACCCCTCCTTCTATCAACTCGCATATAAAATCATTTTCAATATACGTCGATGAATATGAATATTTAAAATATTTCGCATACATCTGTCATTCGTAGAAATCATTTTTTTTTTTTAAATTCTCGAATAAATTTTATCTCCGTATTTAAATATTTTACATTTATTTATATTGCGATTTTGGTTTGTTAAAAAACAAACAAGGCAGTTTAAATTACATAATTATCAGACATAACTTCAGATTGCGGGAAACCTGCTCAAATAACTCTTTTAATCAAAAATATGTATTTTCAAGGATTTTCGATCGAGTAATATCATATAATTCAGAAATACATTTTCTTTGTCTTTAAACATAATTAACGCCAATTAATGTGGGCTAATTAATTTGTTTAAAATTAAACGAAACAATATTAAATTATAATCTCTTACAGAATAAAGTATTAGATTAAATAAATCCAGCCGTAATATCATTGATCCTGACATATGTTTTTCAAGGACACATTTCTTGAGTATCAATGTAAAATTATTGCTCGTTGTTCACTTAAAAAAAAAAAAGATATTAAAATAGAAGATGTTCTTCTTTAAATTGTTGAAATAAACAATCCCCCGAATACAACAAATTTATACATATAATTCTAAACGTACGTGACGTTTTTTCAAAATATTCAAACTGATGAGATTAACAGTTTCTCGCGTTGACTTCATACTTTTGAATTATTGAATAAACTTGTGACACACGATGTAAGTGCCACGACGTGACAAGTGAAAATTAGATAGTAAAAACAATTGAAATTTGTTTCTTAGAACAGACAATACTGTGTTTGAAAATATATTTTTTAAGTATCCTTATTCTCTTATTTGTCATCAAACGAAATTGTCAGATTTAAATGGACTTATGTATTTACACGCAGATAATAAATACGTAAGTATATTGTTAATTTATACTTGTACAAAAATTTCATTTTATTTTTGTTTTAATTATAAAAATATTTCACGTAAAAATTAACTCCTTAATATATACATATATATATATATATATATACTTAATATATATATATATACACATTCAATATTAATTAGCATATATACATATACATATATATATATATATACTTAATATATATATATATATATATATACACATTCAATATTAATTAGTAAATCGTATACCTAATAATTATATATTTTATTAATATAATAATATATTTTTAAAAAATAATTCTTTTTTCATATACGATCTAAAAGCAAACGAATTTCTAATAGAATAAATATTTCATACCATTTAAATCTAGCAACAAGTGTATATATATATCAAACTTAAATTCTACTGTCATAAAATCTATGACACGAAGTGTTATTATTAAACAAAATAAAAAGATTAACACTTGCCTTTGGGTTGCACCACAGAAGTCATTAATTATATCCTTTAATACGAAAGTCAGTTTAATCCTATTACGTTTTTTTCTAAACGATGTTCTTTCAGCACGATTGAATGAATGATAAAGCAAATATGACACTTTTCTTCTTTTTTTTTTAATATATATATAAATAATTTGTAATCAATTTATTCTCTCTCTTTCCCTCTCTCTTTTATTTTTTATATAAGTAACGAAAAATTTGCTAACAAAAAAAGAAAGAAGAATTATACGTGGACATAAAATTAAGCAGAGATGAAAAAAAAAATGAGAAAATAAGAGATAGAAAGATAGAGAGAGAGAGAGAGAGAGAGACAAAAGACGGAAAAACATTAAACGTCCAAAACGTATCAACACTTTTCTGTGATCATACCAGTCAAACTGTTAGTTTCACATTAAAAGTATACTCGTGTAAAAGCAACTGACAATGAGTAATCCCCCGTATCGAGAATGCTGAACGGTAGGGGAAAACAGGTTACAGAAATAATATAATAATTGATAGAAATCGAAGAGGGAAGAATTTGTTAAATTATCTACTCATCATTCCCCCCCACCACCCCGCCAAAAGAAAATCAAACAGAAAGAAAATAGATAAAAACGTAACCAATGGTTTTTCAAACGATTTGACAAAACCGGATTCACAATTAGTTCTTAGAATATTCTAGTATAAATATGCAGTTCCGTTTAAAAAAAAAAACGATGACCTTGATATTTCGAAAACAATGACCTTTAAAAAAAAATTCGGCCCATCACTATATCGGCGTCCTCGAGCAAAATATTTGTTTCCTCTGACATTTCTTTTTTATCGTACGAAATAAACGAGATATTTCTGGTGATCGAGTTAGAGGAAAGACCCTGTATTTATATTGATGATTATGGCAATGATAATGGTCACAAAATTGAAAAAATCAATTTTTGTAATATAATAAATTATATTATATCTTTTTACTTTTTCCCTTTTACATATTCTAAAATTATTAGCACACCTATGCAATACTATAAAAGAGATAGCAAATATAAATAATTTTTATTAATATCGTTAAATTAATTGTTTGAATTTTGTTCACTTACACCACTGTTATTTATTATTAATATATGAAGTCATGTTTATGGTTGTAATCAAATTCTGTCAACATTCCTTCGCAATGTGCATATATATATATATATATATATATATATGTATTTACATAAATTAACTTTTGTTTCTTATTCTTTCGAACAAAAAACTCGAAGTAGTCCTATTTACTTGATCACGGTTGGTTCCTGCAAAAATATATTCTAAAAAACGACAATTGTCGTCGTTGTCGTCGTTGGGTAGATATTTTTTTCTTTTTTCATTTTGACGTATATTTTCAAAACATTAAAAAAATTATCTCTTCGCGTAAAAATAAAATTATAATAGAAAAACAAATTTATCTTTATTTATAGAATTATTCGATTGATCATTTATTAAAACTTACGTTTAGCATTCATGTGTGTGTTCCTGTTCCTGTTTCCGCAAAAGAAAAAAAAAAAAACCAAAATATCAGTTTTCTTCGGGACAATAATTTTTTTCTATCTTGATTCTTCTTGATTTCTTCGCGAAAAAAAAATAAAATAAATGAATGAAATAAATAAAAACACACAAAATAATCACGCGCGAACGTCCCGTCGTATACGTTTTATCCAAATAATTTTCTGTCTGTTCACGAATGGTAGACAGACGACTATAAAGTAATGTTCAAATGAATGATTTTGCGGGCCTTATGTACGCATATCGCTAAGACAAACTAAACTCTTTTACGTATCTCAAAGCTCTGAAATAACAATAGAGATAACCAGATATTTGTCCGTGTTAATAACAAGGCCCATTCTCTCTATTATTAATTAGTCAAACATTTTGAATGATACATGCCCTACCGTTTAGCTACCTCATACTATTTTCATTCCTTAGAAACTAATCCGAATCCAGCTATACAAATATAGTATTTCGTGAAATTTCGTTTATAAAGAACTATCAAATAAGAATAAAATGCTATTTATTTTAAGTTTACAATCTGGTTGATAATATTTCGGATTTTTTTTATCGAGCAAACGATAACCTATTTCCAAAACAAAACTCGGCAAGGGTTGTATTAAATTTTTTTTTTTAAATATCTTTTTAGATTTAATATGATTGCTTTGTAAGGATTTGTTATACCTATGACCAATAAGTTGCTTATTCATTTTTATTCTTTAATTATCATGCATTCACTTTTTATATACTAATCTACGATTAGAAAGTAATCAAGTTCTTGAATCGAAAATCACTCACAGATACAATTATAATTAGAATAATAAGATAAATGAATTGTTTATTTTATTTTTTTAAATGTATTACTTTGTAAATGAATTATAAACTTACGTAGTAAAATTATTTCATCTTTATTTAAAGAAAAATAAAAATAAATGATTAAAATGATGTTTAATTCTATTATAATTATAATAGAAATATACGTTCAATCTATATTTTATTAATAGCTATTGTTACATATCAGCCAATTATCATATTTTTTCTAATTATGATATTATGTTTATTCGTAGGAGCTTATGTAATTACCGTTAGAATACGGAAATTACTCCGAAGAATTCTAGATTACGTGGAATTTCTCTTTAAAATTACGTATCCGAATGAAAATAATAAAAAGAAAGAGAAAGAAAGTATAATTACACGCTGTTACTTTCTATCCTCGAATAAATCCTATCCTATCATCGTGATACGTGAAAATAAATAAATAAAATAAAATAAAATAAAATTTATTATATACATAATTTATATGCGTTTAATGAAGTCTTCAAGAAGAAGAAGAAGAAGAAGAAAAAAACGAGCAAAAAATAATTCCATATGCATCGGTAAATTTCCAAAGTTTGTTTCCCCCTGTCAGATTGTCGAAGCAAATGTATATAGATACATATATATCTGGAGGAAAAAAAAAATAAAAAAGATGTCAAAATAGAAGATACGAATCATACGCATTTTTAATAGCAAATACTTCGTAAAATTGAAACTTTTCGTGTGTACTAAAGAAACCACGTGTGTGCAATAAGTGGAATGAGTCACGATCTACCTGTGAATTTCCGTTGAAAATTCATCTCATTTCGTTTTTTTCGAGACTTCATTAACCTATAATCTTTCAACGTATTTATAAGATATTTGTTAGATTGTTTCAGGAATAATTTTAAATACAAATTTATTTATTCCTATTTGTTTATTTTAAAATCGTTGACATTTTAAGTATGAAACAAACGAAACGTCTATTCTTTTATAAAAATGCAACAATGTAAACCGTAAACTGTTAATTTAATTTATCGATGATAAATAAGAAAAAGAAAAGTAGAAAAATGATGGTAGTTGTAAACCGAAATTTGTAAAATTATATACAACCGCTTAATATCTTTTAATTAACAATGAAAAAAAAAAAACATAAGAAAACCATTGATAAAATAAAAATACGAATTTTCGCGCGAAGTCTTAAAACTGTATGGCGGCAAATTTAAAATAAAATCGAATTTATATGAGTTGAATTTTTTGATTATTTTTAGAAAGATTTAGTTCGTTTTCTTTTTCGTATCCTATCATAATCGTGATATATCGATAATAGGATAAAAAAAAACGTTCAACGTGTCACATCGGGTAATACTTATCTTGAATGTTTCGAAAATGAGAAGGGGTAATGGAAAATTTACCGATTCTTTGTTATAAATACTGCAACGCGAGACAAGGCTTTCGTTTATATCGATTAAAATTTTCTTCTTTTTTTTCTTTTCTTCAATAAAATCCATTTTCGTAGAAATTTATTTGTTCGTTGTTGTTGTTATTATTGTTGTTTATATTCTAGAAATTTTTTTTTTACTCGTACGTAGAATATAATTTTTTGTTGCGTACGTATTGTTAAAGTTTCATAAAAAACAAATATGTAAACATGCTTGACATCTGAAACAGATATTGCATCATCCGTATTCATTGATTTCCTTTCTTTTTTTTTGCCCTGTTTTTACCACTTTCAATTTATAAAAATTATCTGCCGCACCTTTTATAATCATGAATTTATTTAACAACCATCATAATATAAATTATCTATATAGCAAACTTCGTGAAAAACGCGTTTTCATAATACACAATAAGTCATAAAACATAGTAAAAAAAAAACCTGGATACCTCTGAACTATTCGATGCATCAAATTGCAATTTGCTAACTCGTGTAATTGTAAAATTACACGTACTGTAGTACCTGATGTATCAAATATTAAATTATTCAATTTGTCATTATAAATTTCATATAACAAAACAATTATAATACCATTTACTAATCGAACAAATCATGAATATATATTAAAAGATTAATTATCTTTTATTTTTGTAGAACGATCGAAATGCTTTACAATTTTATTTATCTTCATTCAATTTTGTTTTTGTTTTGTTTTAGTATTTATCAGAAGAAAAAAACCAATTTAACGTGAATAAATGGATAAAATTACAAAAATTATTTTCCTTCCTAGATATGTATCTTTGCGTGTGAATTTATTTTCCTGAATAAATATTTAATGTACGCTATCTCGATAATTTGTCGAATATTTTATTGAAAAAAAGAAAAAAAAACAAACAAACAAAAAGAAAATTTTTAAGGTCTGCTAAATATCGAAAAGTAACAGGATATTCCGTTAACGGGACGTGGCTGATGTTGCAAAAATTTGTGAGGTGGCATTCCAGTAGTACGAGCTTCTTTCAAATCCATTATATTTGTATCAGAACTGGTCAAATCGGTTTGAAGAAAATTCATATCCTCCGATGATACCATCTCTTTTATCATTTGTGCAGGCTAATCGGATATCCCCATTAATATTAGATATTAATACCAGTCTAACAGGTAACACAAGGTTATACGTTGAATATTTAAATGCGTCTATCGATACGGAAAGTTGTAATTATCTTTGCATTTAAATTAAAGTATACAAAAAAAAAAAAAGGAACAAAAGAATTTTATAGCTATGTGTTTATACGCATACAGGATGATCCACATAATGTGTTACACGAAAGATTTTTATATATGAATAAATATACTAATTTTTTTTTTTACGCTTTCTTGATAATTTATTCAACTTTACGTGTATTAAAATTTAATTTATGAATTTAAAAAAAAGAAAAAAAAAAAAAAAAGTTTCCTCCTTTTATATTTTTTTTTTTATATAAGTCATATATTAATAAAACATATTTACGTAGGTGTATGCGCGTGTGCAAAATAAAAAAAGAAATCAAACTTAATTGTAAGAATTAAGTAAGAAATGAATATTAATCGTAATATATATGTTAACAATTATAAATCTATAAAATATGATTAACGAATACTTGCCATAATGTCAAAAATTGGAAGCAAATCGTCGATAGGGGGTGGTTCGTCAAATGGCTCGATTAGATTACCACTTCGTAAAACGAAGAACAAAAACCACATATAATTATTACGATTGAAAAGTTTCTCTTTGCTGTCTATGCTTGTAGTCTTTAATTTCTCCAACCATAAATGTATCAGCGATCTTTCTGTCGATTATTAAGATAATTCGATTTTTTTTAAACTGTAACGAACAGTATCTCAACGAATAATAAAATGCAAATAATTTATGAGCGAAATACGATTCCAAATGGTTTTATAAATAAAAACAAGTATAATGAATTGAATTCATTCAACGATTACTACTATACTCATTATCAATGCAATATTATTATTATTATTATTAGATGATTAAATCTTTAATTCAAATACTTTTTGTCATCAAAATTTTGGAATAATTCTATAAATGGAATTTAATCGCTTTGAGAATTAACGAAACATCCGATAAACTCTTTGATATCGTTATAATTACAATTTTAAGCCTCCGATTCTAATAATAATAATTCTGTAAATATTATTGCCAAATTTCTTTACGTTATAGATCATTAAAAAAAAAAAGAAATGACAAAAAAAATGTGTTTAGATTGATCTTGGACTTATACTTTGACTCTGATTACTAGTTCTCGGAATAAATTGATAGTAAGAGAAATCGCGAGCAGATCAGCACGTCTTCTTTGACACGTAACCTTTTCGATAAATATATCAAATCGTAGTATATGACGTTGTTATTTAAGTTCTTATTAAAAAAAATTTGTTCGGGGGAATTATCGTTATAAGAAATAGTTAAATTTTCCGTTATTATCAACTTTCTTCGAAATCAAATTACTGGGAGGGGTAGAAAAAAATAGACAATAAAATAGAATTTAACCTTTTTTTGAAAATAATTGGACCAATGCTCTTGCCATCAAATCGTTGTAGATAAAATTGTCATTCTCTATTTCATCTTCTTTGCAAACATCATCATCATCATTTTTATTATTATTCCCATTAACATTTTTCTTAGACATTTTTACATTGAATTTAATCAAAAAATATATAACTCTGAGATTACACGCTCGTCTACGTTTTACAATTTTTATTTCACATATTATATCATTCCTCTCTTATTTCAAACGATCTCGCGATTCTATTGTTTTTCATATTGATTTTGAATAGTTTTCAGAATGAATTTGAGATCGCGAGAAGATCAAAACATCATCTCTGACACGTAACCTCTTCGATAAATATATCAAATCGTAGTATTTGACGTTGTTATTTAAGTTCTATTAGTAAAAAAAGATTTGTTCGGGGGAAACATCGGTATAAGAAAATAGTTAACTTTTCCTTATTATCATCTTTCTTCGAAATCAAATTACCGGAAAAAGAAACAATGAAATAGAATTTAACCTTTTTTCGAGAACAATTGGACCAGCAAATCGTTCTAAATAAAATTGTCATTCTCTATTTCATCTTTTTTGCAAACAACAACACCATCATCATCATCATCGTTATCATATTCTCATTCAAATTTGTGTCAGACATTTGTACCTTGAATTTAATCAAAAAATATATAACTTTGATTACGCTTGTCTATACGATTTACAATTTTTTTTATTGCACATACGACGTCATTTCTCTTATTTCAAACGATCTCGGGATTCTATTGTTCCCCTCCCCTTCCTCCCCATAGGTATAATCAATAAAAATAAATAATAAATATTTACGGCAAAGAGAAAAAGCAGGGAACAATATTTTCTCATAATTTTCCAAGCAATTATTATAAATAACGAATAATGTGGGAAAACAGGATACAAACGTCATCAAATTAATTTCTTTGTATTGGTTTCTTTAATATTTTATCATCAAAAAGAGAGGGAATATATTCCAAACAGTACTCGTTTCTTTGATATCATATCACCAAACAATAATAATAACAGTCTGTCATTGACACTCTTTTCTCCGCTCTTTCTCCTCCTTTTTTTTTATTCTCCCTATTCAAACGGTCATCGAACGAGAAAATACCACGATGATCGTTAATCAAGCACGTGTCTAGAAAATATTCTTTTTCATATATATATATATATATATATATATATATATTTTT